GCACCGAGCCCCCAGCCCGGGGCTCAGCAACGCCTGCTAGTGCCGTCCTCGGCCCCTTGGTAGCAGTGCCTCCGCTGGGCCACAACCCGTGGGCTCCTGGCCAGACCCGTGGACCCAAAGGCAGGGGCGGGAAGCATCCGGGAAGCTGCCGTGAGCCTCAGTGTGGGGAGTGTCCCTGGGAGGAGCAGGATCAGGGCCGCCCTCAGTCTTCCCAGAGGAGGCGACCCCCAGACCTGGAGAATGAGAAGCCTCTGGCCCTCAGCAGGGAGGCCGTGGGTGTGGGTGGGTGCGTGCGCGCCCGGGGCCTTCAGCACCTGTTCTCTGAGCACCCGCGCCAGGGGCAGAGCTCTCAGGCCTGGTGTACTAAGCGGGAGCCACTGCCCGCCCAGAGGGCCTCCTCTCGGCCTGCGGTTCAGCCCAGTCCGCCAGACCGGCCAGGGTCAGCAGCTGACCTTTGGAGAGGAAGGAGGAACCCAGCCTAGACCTGACCTGCCGGCAATGTCTCTTCACCAAACCACAGGTCACCTGCCCTGTCGGGGCTCCAGACACACACCCTCACTCCCACGACCACCTGTGGCCCGTTAGCTTCCTGGTATGAGTCAGCGGTCAATGTCAGGGCAGAGAATTTGGAGCCCAGCAGCTCTGTCATTAGTGGTTTGCGGAGCACGGGCTGGACAGGGCTAGCCGGGATGAGAGACGCCTGGAGGCCGGACAAAGCAGACAGGGCTAGGGCATGCCCTAGGCAGCACAGGGTGTGGGCTGAGGGCGAGCGGTGCCTGGGGCTTTGCGTCAGGGAGGGGGCAGACAGCGTGCGCGTAAGCAAGCATGGTGCTTTCGGGAGCTGACCCTGGGCTAGAGTGAGGGGGGCCAGGGGCCACTGCAGAAGGGTGGTCTGTGATCAGGTGACAGGAAGGAGCCGCCAACATGGAGGCCTGGGGACAGGATCCTCAGACAGGGAAAATGGAGAGTGCAAAGGCCCTGAGGTACAGAGTCCATGGAATAAAGAGAAGGGCACTGGGGAGGCTGAAGGGAGGGGCGGATGCAGGGGTCATGTGTTCAGGGTCCAGGAGTGAGGATTTTTTCAAGAAGACTTCAGAGAGAGTTAAGCTGGCCGATGACATGGTCTGATACACATTTTCAAAATGGAATTGAGGGGGGAGGGGGAAGCGATTCAACCTGTTATATGTTCTGCGTTTAAAGAAGAAAATCTAGGGGCACCTGGGTGGCTCAGTCAGTTAAGCATCTGACTCTTGACTTTGGCTCAGGTCATGATCTCACGGTTGG